ACATTTAGAGCACAACAAACACACACACACACACACATGCAGCACAACTCGCACACAGAACAACACAGAAAACGCACACACATGGATAACCACACGGATGTTTTTAGAACATGGCTGTGTGTGTGTGTTTGTGTGTGTGTGTGTGTGTGTGTGTGTGTGTGTGTGTGTGTGGACACAGTGAATAGAGGACTGTGTGGATCCTCTGTGATGGGGCAGGCTGGTACTTGGTACTGAGACGGGTCAGTGAGGGTCCGGTCTCTAAACAAACTCTAGACGTTGTTCAGAACCGACAGTGGTCCTGTGAGGACTAAACTCTCAGATCATCCTGGTCCAAACTGAAGGTACGGTTCTGAGTTGGTTCTGAAAGGTTGACTGAAGGTTCTGAAGAGGGCGGAGTCAGATGTGCTGTGGACTGGTACTGATAGAGTTCTGATGGTGGTCTGACTGGTACCAGTGGAGTTGTTAGTGGTTCTGGTCCAGACTAACCCCTGACCCGTGTCTCTCAGGTACCTGCAGGAGGTCGGGTACACCGACACCATTCTGGATGTGAAGTCTCAGCGGGTCAGGGTTCTGCTCGGTCTGACTGGAGACCCCGGGGACAAACCTTTGGAGAGGAGAAGCGAGCCCATGGTGAACGGAACCGAGCCGTCCTCGCTGAAGGACAGCGGCATGGTCAGGTACTGGATGAACTGGACCGGTTTGTGTGGTTCTGAAGGCAAAGACAGAACCTGTGGACCTTCTGTTGCAGTAAACCCGACATGTCGGACTCGGCCACCGTGTTGGAGGCGTTCCGGTTCATCGAGAGCGCTGCAGCAGAGTTCAGTGATGAAGACGAGGAGGAGGACAGCGAGATGAAGGACAGAACCATCCTAGACCTGGCTGCTGTAAGACAGAACCTCTGAAAAGTTCTGCTCCGTGTCTTTATCGGAGCTTGCCGTAGAGAAGCCCTGCTGTTGGTTGATTTTATATGACGGCACACATTTCTGAATGCTAATCACAATTTGAAGCTAAACGCTAACGCTAACTTTAGAGAAGGCTCTAATTCAGCCATTTTTACACACAAAGCTGAAAACTGCTGAGAGTAACTTTAAACAATGCTAAGTAAACAGTCACGATGGTTGCCGTAGCTAAAAGCTTATATAAGACATATTGAGGTGAAAGTTTGTGTGGTGGTTGATGACTGTGATATTCAGTGAAGAGTAAAGTCTAATCTTGAGTTAATCCAGGAACTCTTCTAATGATTCTTAAWGTTTATGGTTTGGAGCTGTGCTGAAAGTGAAACTTGTCTCAAACAGATGAGGAGGAAGATGCCGTCCTCCACACCGTCCTCCACCACCTCCGACCTCAGCGACGACCCAGACACTGAGGAGGCCCTGAAGGGCTTTGWCTTCTTGGCCAATCAGGACGAGCTGGACGCGTCTCCTGAGACAAAGAGCAGCGAGGACAGTGGAGAGTGGGGTGAGGCAAAGCATGATGGGAAAAAAGATTCAGGTGTGACAGACAATCCTCCAGATTTATTGTATTTCTCTGTGGTCAGTTCATCTCTAACTTAACATCTGTTTGTTCATAGAAATAACTATTCTGAAGTAAACGGATGTTTCCAAACACGTCCCTGAAGGCAGCAGCAGAATAAAGTTCTGTTTCTGCAGTTTCCTCAGGTTTCTTCTGTTTCTTAGCAACAACATCCAAAGTCATGTGATCTGTGTCAGGAAGCTCTCCCACACAGTTCGTGATTCAGCACATCAGAGTTTAAAGACTGCTGACTCAGTGTTACTTCGACAGAAAAACTACCAGAGTTACAGCTGGAGGAACTACCAGATTAACAACGGGTTAGACAACCAGAGTAACAACCAGAGTAACACCTGGTTAGACAACCAGAGTAACAACCAGAGTAACACCTGGTTAGACAACCAGAGTAACAACCAGAGTAACAACTAGAGTAACAACCAGTTAGACAACCAGAGTAACAACCAGAGTAACACCTGGTTAGACAACCAGAGTAACAACCAGAGTAACACCTGGTTAGACAACCAGAGTAACAACCAGAGTTACAACCAGTTACACAACCAGAGTAACAACTAGGGTAACAACCGGAGTTACAACTGTTTAGACAACCAGAGTAACACCTGGTTAGACAACCAGGTTTGACTCGTTTGCTGGTCCGACTCGTTTGCTGGTCTGACTCGTTTGTTGGTTTGACTCATTTGTTGGTCTGACTCATTTGTTGGTCTGACTCGTTTGTTGGTTTGACTCATTTGTTGGTCTGATTCATTTGTTGGTTTGACTCATTTGTTGGTTTGACTCATTTGTTGGTTTGACTCATTTGTTGGTCCGACTCGTTTGTTGGTCCGACTCGTTTGTTGGTCCGACTCGTTTGTTGGTCTGACTCGTTTGTTGGTCTGACTCGTTTGTTGGTCTGATTGATTTGTTGGTCTGACTCATTTGTTGGTCTGACTCATTTGTTGGTCTGATTCATTTGTTGGTTTGACTCATTTGTTGGTTTGACTCATTTGTTGGTCTGACTCATTTGTTGGTCGGACTCGTTTGTTGGTCTGATTGATTTGTTGGTCTGACTCATTTATTGGTCTGATTCATTTGTTGTGCTGATTCATTTGTTGGTCAGACTCGTTTGTTGGTCAGACTCGTTTGTTGGTCTGACTCATTTGTTGGTCCGACTCGTTTGTTGGTCCGACTCGTTTGTTGGCCTGACTCGTTTGTTGGTCTGACTCGTTTGTTGGTCTGACTCGTTTGTTGGTCTGACTCGTTTGTTGGTCTGACTCGTTTGTTGGTCCGACTCGTTTGTTGGTCAGACTCGTTTGTTGGTCTGACTCGGCTCATCTCTGTTTGTTGTGAACTGACATCATGTCTCCTCCTCTTCCTCCTGCAGAGAAAGACGAGTCGTCCCCTCAGGGAGACCTGGGCTGGGACGTGGACCAGGGTCTGATCGCTCAGCTGAAGGAGCAGTACAAGAAGGAGCGGAAAGGAAAGAAGGGGGTGAAGAGTAAGTTCTGGGTCCTGGTTCTGCTCTGCAGACATTCTCCTCCTCTCCCCATCCTCTATTTTCTCCTCCTCTTCCTCCTCCAGGACCAAACCGGTCCAAACTGCAGGACATGTTAGCAAACCTGCGGGACACAGAGGAGCTGCCCCCCATGCAGCCGGCCCCCGTCACGCCGCCATCCCGGTCCGTCGTACCCAGACTCAACGAGCAGGAAGTGGGCCGGCCTGAAGACGGTACACCTGAGCTTCCTTTCAGGCCGTTAGCCAATCAGAGCTCAGCATTCAGACGGTGTTTTTCTCCCTGCAGAGCCGATGACCTTCCTGCCGTCGTCTGGAAAGTCCTTCATTCTGGGCCGTGTGGACGAGGCCGTGTCCAACGAGCTCGGACTGGGAGAGCTGGCCGGACTGACCGTCGCCAAYGAGGCAGAGAGTCTGGGATTTGATGTGAGTTTCTCAGAACTGCCTCCAAATGTATTCCTCCAAGTGAAAAATCTAAAATGATCCTCTGTAGATGTTTGAACATCTGCGTTCTTATATTATTATTATTATTATTGTTATTATTATTAGTAGTATTGTTATTATTATTATTATTGTTATTATTATGATTATTGTTATTGTTATTATTATGATTATTTTTATTGTTATTATTATTAGTATTATTATTATTATTATTATTATTATTATTATTATTATTGTTATTATTATGATTATGACTATTATTATTATTTATTGTTATTATTATTATTATTATTATTATTGTTGTTGTTGTTGTTTGTTTTTATCTTCAACACAAACTGAACAATAATTCAAATAACAGATTAATTAATGGGACTGATGTCCTCAGATCAACAACATGGACGCTCTGAGGAAAACCTGGAACCCAAAGTTCACCCTCAGGAGCCACTTTGACTCGGTCCGGAGTCTGGCCTTCCACCCGGTGGAACCGGTTCTGGTCACAGCGTCTGAGGACCACACCTTGAAGCTGTGGAACCTCCAGAAGACGTCRCCAGCCAAGAAGTGAGTCCAAATAAAAAGATGTTCTCAGTCTGACCTGGGGGGTTGCTGCTGCTCACCGGTCCTGATCAGAGTTCTGAACCTGGTGAGGAGGAAGAGGATCAGAACCTCTCAGGACTCTGATGCTTGGTTCTGTTTGGATTTTTCTAGGTGTGCTGCTTTAGACGTTGAACCCATCTACACCTTCAGAGCTCACAGGTGAGGAAAGGATCCGAGTCAGAAAGAAAACCTGACTCTGGGATTTGATTGATGATGTTTGGGTTCCAGACCCAGACCTTTAGATGGGATCAGAACACTTCTGGTTTTTAAAGTTCTGGTCYGGTTTGTGCAGCGGTGCCGTGCTCTGCGTGACGATGAGCTCCAGAGGAGACCAGTGCTTCAGTGGRGGGGTCGACGGGACCATCCAGAGCTGGAATACCCCCAACCCCAACATCGACCCCTACGACTCTTACGGTACTTCCTGTCTCACACCTGTGAGTATTCTCAGAAGAACGGTTTGTGAGCTGATGAAGGTGTCGTTGCAGAGTCCTCCGTCCTGCGGGGGGCGCTCTGCGGTCACACGGACTCGGTCTGGGGTCTGGTCTACAGCTCAGCTTATCACCGCCTCCTCTCCTGCTCCGCTGATGGAACGGTCCGACTCTGGAGTGCCGCCGACATCTCGCCATCTCTGGCAGTTTTTAACGAGGACGKAGGTGAGAGAACATCTGGATCCTGACAGTACCTCCTGCAGGTCCCTGAAGGTCCACCAGAGGAATTCAGCAGGTTCAGAACCCGTTCTGTTGTAGACCAGCTGCTGAGTCTGGGGTCATGGTTCTGGTGGGCCCAGTTTGGTCCAAACCTTCACCTTCAGGCTKCAGGTCCTCCTCCAGACTGGGTTTTTGGGTCTGATGAGTCTTCTGTGTGGTTCTGTTTCAGAGCTGGGCGTCCCGACCTCGCTGGACCTGGTGAGGTGTGAGCCGACTCACATGGTGACGTCCTTTAACAGCGGACACATCGGACTCTTCAACATGGAGACGCAGCAGCTCCTCCTGAAACTGGACTCTGCTGGACCACCAGGTACCACCAGAGACTCAGTGACCCAGATCTTCTGTTCTGATCTTCAGATGTTCTGATTCTTCCTCACRTCTTCACAGAAGCTCAAAGTTCGCTGAGTAAGATCAACAAAGTGCTGAGTCATCCCACGCTGCCAATCACCATCACGGCTCAGGAGGACCGCTGCATTCAGTTCTTCGATAACAACACAGGTCAGACCAGGTYCTGTTGGTCCTGATTACTGTGGTTCAGCAGCTAAAATCAGTTTTCTGTTTTTGTTTGGGCCAGTTCTGGTTCTGGTTCTGGTTAACAATGAGTTCCTATTTGTTTCTGACTGAAGGTAAACTGGTCCACTCCATGGTAGCTCACTTGGACTCGGTCACATGTCTCGCTGTGGATCCAAACGGGCTGTACCTGATGTCAGGCAGTGAGTCTTCATGTTGACAGTGGAGTCAGTGTTTGGGTCTGTTACCATGACGACCTCCTGATGTGTTTAGTCTGATGACAGGAAGTGTGTTCTGTGTTCTCATTGGTTGTCGTCTCTCAGGTCACGACTGCTCCATCCGTCTGTGGAACATGGAGAGTAAGACCTGCATCCAGGAGTTCACCGCCCACCGCAAGAAGTTTGAGGAGTCCATCCACGACGTGGCGTTCCACCCCACCAAGTGTTACATCGGCAGCGCCGGCGCCGACGCGCTCGCCAAGGTCTTCGTATGACCTGGAGCTGAGAGGACGGGCGGGGACAGTGAGGCATGACCCCTCCGAGCTTCGCCTCCCACACCCCTCTGGACACGGGCTGGCCCGCGTTCCAGAACCAGCAAACTCTAGAAAGGAAGGAAAGAAAGAAACAAAGCATTAAAATGAGAACGAAACTCAAATCTTTAGTTTCTGTGTGAAAACTCCTCAATAAACCCAAACATCCTGAAGCCTGCAGTGTCTCTGCGCTCGGTGGCGTCTTTGTCTGTGGCAGCTATGTGGTCAAAAATGTCTCTGAGGTTGGTGGAGTCTCTGAGGTTGGAGGAGTCTCTGAGGATGGTGGAGTCTCTGAGGATGGTGGAGTCTCTGAGGTTGGAGAGGTATCTGAGGTTGGAGGAGTCTCTGAGGTTGGAGGAGTCTCTGAGGTTGGTGGAGATCTCTGAGGTTGGAGAGGTATCTGAGGTTGGAGGAGTCTCTGAGGTTGGAGGAGTCTCTGAGGTTGGT